GATGAAAGAGAAGCAGAGACAGATAATCCCTGTCTTTAAAAAGAAAACTAAGAAGGCAAAGGATATTCTTGAAAAAGGACTTTTAACCAGAGGACAGCTGCAGGACCGGAGTGTGTAACATTAGTGCTGCGCTGATTTTTGCTGGGGGATTTTTCTCCCAGCTTGGCCAGTGAAATGAGTGTTGTAACAAGCAAGTTTTGGTATTGGCTTGCACAATTAGTGGCCTGTGGTTCCAAGGCAGCGATTCAGTGAAGCTGTGCATGAATAATTTGATTTGTTCCATTCAGTGGAGCTGGTGGAAGACCTAACAAAGAGCTGGGGGTAATAGATGGGCTGTCACCTATCTGATTAAATGCTCATTTCAATTTCAGACTTGGTGCCTGGGATTTCTTTGCTATTGAGTTGGATCAGCAGAGATCTCCAAGTAACTAGTAAAAATGGCCTAGGCAATTAGTCATGCTATTGATGACTTTGTTAGCTATGCATGGCTGCACAGAAAGAAAGCAGGGCGAGGAGGGGGGGGCAGGGAGGCCAGCAGAGAAAACCTCATTGAATTTTAAAGATCTTTCTTTGGTTTCCAGCTGGTCTTTTGGAGTGCTGCTATGGGAGATCTTTACCCTGGGAGGGTCTCCGTACCCGGGAATTCCTGTCGAGGAACTCTTCAAGCTCTTGAAAGAAGGCCATCGGATGGACAAACCCGCCAACTGCACTCACGACCTGTAAGTAACCCGCGTCCCCACGGCTCTCCTCCCCTCGTCCCGAGCGCCACTCGCCCTCTCCCCAGCCTCCCCGGGGCCTGAGGAAACGTCACAGATGCAGTTCGCCCCCCACCATCTTTCCCCACCGAATGCTCGGTCAATCTGAGGTTCCTCCTGGGACCTCTGGCCACCGGCTCCACCACTGTCATTGAATCGTTATGGTTGGAAAAGACCTTCAAGATCATCTAGTCCAACAATGGACTCCATTTGCGCGGGGGAGTGGAGAGAGGAGTGAGCCAGGAGCGCGTACGGCCCCGCTGGCAGGAGAACCATACTGAGCTCTTCCTCCTGCTGCTGGCACCGCGCGGCAGGGACGCCCCTCAGGGATGGAAGCGTTGCTCGGAGGCGCCTTTGGTACCCCAGAAAATGTCACAGTTCCAGTTGGCTCCTTCCTTGGTACTTCAGCAACAGTAACTTCCCAAGCTTTAGGGAATGTCTCCGTGCACATATGGGACTTCCCACAGGGATCCAAGCAGGAAAAAGCAGCGGGACAAGCAGGACCTGCCTGGTCCGTCTTGGAAGCAGCACAGCCCATAGCATTTTACTGGGATTAGAGAGATTGCCGGAGTCTCCTGCTTTCAGAAACCACCTAAAGAGATGTCAGGTCCTCCTGCCACCCACCTTGATCCTGGTGGGGTGGTGGGTGTGAAAGGGACTCCAAGAGGTGCCCCATGGCACCCAGGTGATGACCTCTTCCCCTCCCCACAGGTACATGATCATGAGGGAGTGCTGGCATGCAGTGCCATCACAGCGGCCCACCTTCAAGCAGCTGGTGGAAGATCTGGACAGGGTCCTCACCGTGACGTCCGCCGATGTAAGTGCGGCTCCGGCGCAGGGCACGGGGAGGGACGGCTGCTCCTCCAAGGCTCAGCACCGCATCCCCGCGTTAACGTCTCCTGGGTCTCTCCCCTCACAGGAGTACCTGGACCTGTCGATGCCCTTCGAGCAGTATTCGCCGGCTTGCGAGGACACTCACAGTACCTGCTCCTCGGGGGACGACTCCATCTTTGCACATGACCTCCCGCCCGACGAGCCGTGCCTCCCCAAGCACCCGCAGTGCAACGGCGTCGTCAGGACGTGAGGGCCGCCACGCGCACCCACGGACGGACGGACGGACAGCAGACCCGCGGAGGCGTGGGCATGGCGGGGGCCGAGGACAAACCGTCGTGAAGGATCTTTCCATGAAACTGCTTGGTAATTCCAGAAGACTTTTGTTGTTGTTGAGCTGTTCAGGGTAATTTTTTTTTTTCCCCATTTGCTGTATAAAAAGTCAAGAAGCACTGTTTGGCCTGAAGGAACTAATCTCTTGCCAAGATTATATATCGTATATAATTTTTTATTATTATTTTTTTTTTTTCTAAACAGAATGTTAAATCCGGGGGGGTACCGACCTTCCCAGCTCCGGTATTGTATTCTCGAGTGCCAGAGTAGCCGTTCTGTGCCTGCAATACGAAGAAGAGACACAAAATCTTCCTTTAAAAAAAATGTGTAAAGAATGTAGAAATTCTTTGCTTATGCAATCTGTACATGAACCTTTTTGGTGGAGCTGAAAAGCCACGTTGCCTGCAGGGATTCATATATTTATAAAGAATATCTATATTTTTGTTGTTGTTGTTTTTATAGCTTCGTGATCTACTACCCAGCTACATAGAAGGAATCCTTTTTTTTTCTTTTTTTCTTTTTTTCTTCTTTTAAAGAAGAAGAAGAAAAAATAAATAAGACGCAAGTAATAATAATTTCTTTTTTTTAAAAAAAGAAAGACGGTGAAGTCAGCTTCAAGAGCGAACGGCTCCGCGCGGCGCCCTGGAGAGAGAAGTTACGGGTACCTGTAGGCAAGAGCCTTTAACTTATATCAAAAAGGTTTATTCCAGAGAATCTGTGTATATATCTATAAATATAGCCTGTATATATATAAATAAATATATTAAAAACATAAAAGAATGTATTATACTAATGCAACGTAAAGCCGTACTGGGAGAGAGTCTCGGAATATGAGCATTGCAATCTAGGATATACTGATCTGGGCAACAGAAGAGATTTTTTTTTTTGTTCTGTTTTATATCTTCACAGTTTTGTTTTAAAAATTGTGCCTTAACATGTATATTTGTAAAGTTATTTATAGACATTAACATATCTGTTCATTGGTTTAAATAGTGTAGTGTTACTGTAAACTTTAAAATTTCACCGAGCTTAAGGGTTTTTTTTAACTTATTAAAAACGGAGAAAAATATATTAATCAAATTTTTCTTTTGTGTTTATGGGAAATATTGAAAGAATGTATAGATGTACAGTCCTTTAACAAATTACATTTAATGTTATAAATATATATATATATGTATTCATTTTAAAAAAATATTAGTTTATCCTGGATTGCAGTGAGTAAAGGTAAGTTTATTTTTCAATACAGCACCAGTGGTTAAAACCAAACAAATAGCAGCAGAGAGATGATTTTTGCATATTTCAGAAAAAAACCAAGGCCAAGATTTCTTCCATCAGTTTAACCACTGTGCATTAAGGGGGCGTGGGTGTTTATTTTTCTATTTTCGAATGAAGGTATTCTTTGTGGTCGACTTAATGACGAGTATGCAGCAACGCTCAGTGTTGACTTTGGATGATGCGTGCTAATTTTTTTTTCCCCCCATTGCCCGTACCGTTGTATTTGGGGTTTGCATGCGCAAAATAGAGGAGTGACACTCTTTGTAAGGGAGATGCAATGACTGCATATTTCTTTTGCATTTAACATGTTGGAAAAAAAAAAGCCCGGGATGCTGGGCTGAAAATGCTGTGCTGTTTTGTTCCTCTATGGTGGATATTTCTGTTTAAAAGCACACGATTGAACAGGGAAATTTTAGTATGGATCAAGCTGACAAGGGGGGAGGTATGGCTGTTTTGGGGGCTTTGTTTGTTTGTTCTGTTGTTTTTTCCTGTCCAGAAGAGTTTATCTACTGCCACAAAGAAGCAAAGATAATTGCATCCTGAATTTTTGCTTTCCATTTTTCTCTGGTGCATATTACATATCAATGTTTCAGAATAACAGGATGAAAACATCTCATTTTAAGATTTTTTTTTCTTCTTAGAGCCACAAAATCCTTATCCTAAAATAAATAATTTATAGTTTGAGGTTACTTCAGTGGAAGTTTGAGAAGGTAGATCTCTAGTTTTTTTGTTTGTTTGTTTTGGATTAAAAAAAAAGAATTTGGGGGTATTTTCTTACAAATGTCTGCTAATTGTGTACATTCCAGGTACTCGAAGCAGTGAGTTTCTTGTACTGAAAAAAGAAAATGTACAAAACTGTGCATGATTTCAAATGTTACTAGATATTATAAATATATATATAATTTATTGAGTTTTTACAAGATGTATCTGTTGTAGACTTGTTGACTTAACATTTCTTATTCAATGCTTATATAGTTTTATAGCCTGGACTGTTATCTTTAAAAGCTTAAAAAAATTAAAAAATTCCATTTTGTTACATTTTATACTGTTGATGCTACAATCCACAGGTTTGCATAGCGTGATTTTTCAATGAGCAACTCTGTTTAGTTTATTTTAATACTGTACTTCTGTGCCTGACAGCTGCAGCTGTCACAGGTGTGAGACGAACACTAAATAAAACTATTCTGTTTTTGTTAACATGGCAAACTTACTTTTACCAAAAAATAATAATAATAATAATAAATAAATAAACAAGTTATTAAATTTGGGGTTTTTTCCCAGTTGTGAGGATCCTTTGCAAACACTAATGTTGCATTTTCCAGGGTTTGTAGCGACCAAACCTTGCAAGAGGGATGTGTTTTACAGTGGTGCTTTGTGTGTCCCAGCTGGGACACACCTTTTACCCCGGGGATGACTTTGCATGAGCAGTGAGATGTTACCACTTTATTATTCAGCATATTAGCAACCAGGGGGTGAGCAGGAGGTGTAATTTTCCCCCTCTCCCGTGCAGGATGGCAGTGACAGCCCTTTTTCTGGCACTCATCGGTCGCCAACACTAATCTTCAGTCAGGCCAGGCTTTTTTCCACCCTGTTTTTGGTGGAGCAGAGGACGTTGCCTTCGTGACAGCGATGCCAGGGAGGGAAGGGAGCTGCATCCAGTTGGGTGCAGAGCAGGCCTCCATCCAGGGTGGAAGGATGCGGGACCTGATCCAACCCAGCACCACCAGCGACGGCAGCCTGGGGGCAAGGAGAGCAACAGCAAGACTTTGGCCATGCCAAAACATCCACAAATGGGCAGAAAAACAGGTCCTTTAAGCAGTTATGGAGGCAGACAGCAAAGCCACGGCAGGACACAGCCTTGGCCTGGGCAGATGCTGACCTGCGCCAGTGAGCCCGTGGGATGTTTGCTCTCCCTCTGGGGTGTCATGATGTCATCTTCTTTTACTGGCCTTCAATAGCAGCAGTATTCGCTTGCAGATGAGGATGCAGGCCGATAATCTATAATAATCATTAGTCATTATGACTATTTCTCTTTGGCTGCTGAGCTCAACGTGCATTTGCAAGGTGCAAAAAAAACATTGCTGAGGAGCATTTGTGATGGTGTTCGAGGCAGGCGAGTCGTGGCAGGCGCCCCACCACATCCAGCACCGCTCATGCCTTCAGTGTCTGCAGCCTCCAACCTGAACGTTGTGTGCCCTTTCCACATGAAAGGGCATGTTTTTCAGAAGAAATCTCTTTTTCCTGTGTGGGTAACTATGCAAGCAGGGCCTCGCGCTGGCCCCGTGACTTGTTCCGTGGCAACGTTCAAACAAACTCGTAACGAGGTAGCGTTGTATGTGTTCCCGTTGGTCACCGCTCCAGGGTGCGTCAGGGAGGGTTTGGCAAAAAGAAAAGTCCCAAGTCCTGCAGGTGTCAGTAAGAGACGGAGCAAAGGAGAGCTGAGAAAGTGAAGTTTTCCTGCTGACGCTCAAAGCTATTGCAGGACTTGTCTTCTGTTGGTGTCCTCCTCTGAGCACTTAGTCGCTCGCCACACAACCCGCTGAAACGGGAGGTAGAGACATGGATTGAGTTGGCACGGAAAAGAATAGGGCAGGTCAATGATGGAAGCACTCAGCAGCACAGCACTACCAGCAGTGGGAGGACACAAGGACTTGCCCAGAGAAGCAGCTAGGAGCTGAAGTGCTTTCTAGACCTACTGGCAAGCGGACTGGATTGGACCTAGGGAAACGGCCCAGAAGAGATCTTATAGAGAGCAGTCTTGGACTGGGCACTCGCTGAGAGACAGTTTCAGGCTAGGGACACCTCGCACTGGCCTGCACCCTCATCTGACCCTCATCTCAGACATTCTCTTCATGGTTTAACTGGCTCCTGTCTCTCTGATTTAGCTCCCCCATTTCATCATCGCAAGGTTGTTTGTTCAAATGCAGCATCTCAGGTGTAGGCAACCCTTGGAGCAGAACGAGCGCTGTGCCCTGCCCCAACATGATGGTTATCTAAGCTCAGGAGAGACGTTGGTGTCCCAGCCATGGCAATGCAACCAGCCCCGAGCCCTGCAGGGATGGCTGCACCCACACACCCTACCCTGAGTGAGCATCTCGTTGGGCTGGCACCCGTTGGAGACCAAGCCATGGCCACTGCTCCAATCTCAGGTGCTTTTGGGGTGGTAGAAGGATGCAGGAGCAGGGGATGGGAAAAGAAAGCGTGAAAGGAGAAAGACCTCTTAACAAATGCATAGGTGGCACTGACCCAAGAATGATTTTGCTGCAGGCCAAAGCACATCTGCTTGCATCACCCACTGAACACTGCTCGCTCAAGGTATCTTACCAATACGGATAAAAGAGGTTTTGCCACCAAGGATGAAGGCCTTGAGCTGGGCAGAGAGATGAGGGAAAGAAGAGAGAGAGTCCTAGGACAGCAGGACTCGCTTCTACCATCAGGAGACGGGAGTAGACGGAGGGCAGTGACTGATATTTTCAGGCTGGGTCTTCCTTGTCTTTTCTCTGCTCCTCCAGAGCTCTGGCATAAGCAAAGAGGGGAGAAAAAAAAAAAAAGGCTATTTTCTCAGTCCCTGCAGCAAGTGCTCTGCCCATTGGACACACCACTATTTGGCTCATGGTTTGCGCAGAAACTCAGCTGTGACTGAAAAATAATTGATGGG